AACTTATTACAGCTTCTAAACTGATATAAAGTCTGTCTGCTGCTGTTTATGTAAAGAGACAAGCTGTGAAAGTGATTCTTCATGATCGATTTCAGTGAAAAAAGAGCAAACGAACTGCAGTTGACTCTTATTTCTGTATGTGCCTCCCAGTGTGTTTGCAGTGGGTGGATGGATGGCTCAGAGTCTGCCTCTGGCCAACATGTTGCACCACTGTGATCTGCGACAGACACAGTAGGAGGTGATGGTGTAACCCATTTAGATGCAGCCCTACAGGGACACACAGACTCGATATGTCTCCTTAACAAGGCCAGCAAATAGGACATTCGTCACCCATCCTCTTTCTGTTTTGACAGAATCGGCTAAGACTTATTTATCTGTTTTTCTTCTCTTTAACTACATTCAATCCACTATAAAGTGTTACACATTCACATTATCTCTCTACTTTTTCTATCAAAATCAACTCATTCATTCCTCTGCTATTTCCTATTTCTAAAAACATCTTAAGGCTCTCTTTGATTTCCTCTAAGATTGCTTTATATAGACTGTTCCCACCCGAGCTAGTGGGTGAATCATTCAGTAGAGGAATTACAGTTAGACTAAGGAGACACTTTTAATTGCTTGTTTTGTCCGTTCATTCAGTTCAGGGAAAGAAGTAACTCTCCACATTTAAGATGCTACAACCAAGAATATTTTTCTTTTTTGGAATAAACGATTACTTATTACTTTTATTTTATGGACATGAAATCTAATAGATGTTGATTAAATGTATTTATATGTAAATATTCTTCCTGTGAAATTTAGAGGAGCACTGTAAAGTTTGCAAACAATTGTAAACTCATGTAAAGTACAAGTAGCACAACAAAAGAAAAAAGCTTGCCCTTATCACAACAATGTCAAGAAGATGAGAACACACACGCACACACACACACACACACACACACACACACACACACACACACACACACACACACACACACACACACACACACACACACACACACACACACACACACACACACACACACACACACACACACACACACACACACACACACACACACACACACACACAAATTCACTCAACTTAAACAAATCAGCAGTGTCCGCAATGGGTAGGGAAATAATGGCAGGACAAGCAGCGCCTTTAGCAACTCCTGTCACTCTTATCACAAACACACATAAACTAACACACTGAAGCATGAAAACACACACTCTCCACGTCCGCGTACCAAGCTGCTGTTCCTCGGGGTAGTTCATGATGAGACAGACACAGACACACGCGCGCACACACACACACACACACGCACACGCACACGCACACTTATTATTGTTATTGGTGCTGCTGCTTGTTGTTATCTGTTAGAACCAAAGACAGTCGACCAATCAGAGAGCAGCTCCTCACACATAACCACGGCGACCGCAGCCTGAACTCTGGGTAACCAGGTGGAGCCGCATAACAACACCTGCAGCAGGATTACAGTAATGAGTCACTGCTTAATTTGAGACAGAGCCGGAGTTACTGAAATTATTGTTATTCTGTTCTTAAAAACACATGAACCGTCATCAAATAACTGCCTTTGTTTTACTCATAAAGGGGCATCATAGATTCATATTCATAGATACTGAGAGTACCCATGAATATGAGATGTATAACATCCCCCTGAGGAAAGTCATATTTGAAATGTAATTGCGCAAATATATTCCGAGTTGGGTGGGAGAACATTATCTGGAAGTAAAAATATTATAAAATATTCATCACAAAAGAGCCACATCTATCCCAGCGAGTCAAATGTTTAGTTTAACAGTTTTTAAAGAAGAATTCAACATGTTCTCAAGTTATATGTGGGCATTCAAGATAAGAAGAATGAGTATTTTAATTCTCGAGCAGATGAACCTACCATGAATCATTCCGACATGGGCGCTGTGAACCAAGAAATCTTAATATGAGAGTTATGGAAAGATGACGATCGTATTGATTCAGCCTCATGCGGAGTATTCCAATTTCAGATGAATTATTCTTTAAAAAGTGAGGCTCTGCTGTTTTATGTTTCACTTATTGGCAAGAAATGTCATTTTAAGACCAAAAACAACAAACAATCCTCATAGCCAGTAGCTACATACTTGATCCTATTCCTCTGCACCACAGAACTTCCTTGCTGTTCACAAAACATTGGAACGCATCAATGAGCCATGCAGTTACAGTTTGCGACATGCGGAGGCACTCCCACCGTCCTGCTGCTGTAAATACGCACCAGAGCACCAAATGTGCATTCATCCACAGCTTAGAATCGTCCCCAATAAGTGCACTATTTTCTCTCTTTTATGTAATGTTTTGAGTGCCCGGCTCTTTTGGGAAATGACCTTGCCTGTTTAAAAAACTGAAATGAATGGTTTGTGAGCAGGTTTCAGCAAATATCTCAATCCTCAGTAGAAACCATTTGGCTGTAGTGTGAGACAGATAGAGGAGGGGAAGTGGGAAAGTACTGATGAACAAACAGAAAAGGACAGAAAAGATAGAGTTCAGGGTTAATGATGTGGCACAGTGTGGAGCCGAGATCTTCAGTCATTTAAACGGCCATGTTTATCAGCGGGAATGTGAAATCAAATATTCTATTAACCTATCACATAAACATCTTAAATCAGAATAAACACTATTGTAGTAAACAGTCACGGTGACAAGGCAGGGTTGAAGTGAGGTCTCTTGTGTGTGAGTGTGTGTGAGAGAGTGTGTAATACACACACTGCTGTTTGAAGCAGTGAGGGGAGGGGATGAGATTAGTACAACAACAGGGAAAAGGCCCGGCGATGGTTGCCATGGTAAATATGGTTCCCTGTCGCGTTCTAGCAGTCCCTTCCTCCTCCTCTCTGTGCCTCCGCGCTCCACTATTCCTCTCTTATATCGCTCTAAATTAAAATGATTAAGGGGATTTATTGGCTTTACGTTTTAAGAACAAAGCATAGAAATACAATTTGTCCAAATAATTGGACAGGGACTGCATAACAATGTGATCATTACCACATTAGGATTGATTTTATATACATAGCAACCGATTTCCTTGTAAACTACCACTATGCCTTTTAATTGCTTTTCCTGCCTCTAAATCTCCGCTTTCCTTCCTTATTTTACCGTCCCTCTCATTCCCTCCCCCACTCTCTTCTTCACGCTACAGTTGGCCGCCCTGCAGGCTCCTGACAGGGCCCTGAACGCTGCGCAGAACAAGGCGACCTTCAATGCATCATGACAGTTTGACAGGGCAGCACCTGGACACAAGCTACCAGACACTACATCACACTTGCCCGCGTCATGACCCAAAATAATATTCATATGTCTTTTAAGTATTGTGATATAAACTCCACCATCATGTAGCTCCTGGATGTCCACATCCATCTGGATATGCTGCACTTTGCATACGGAGCACATATATTGACGCAGGTATTACCAATTTGGAGAAAATACATGAGAATCGGAAACCAAGTTTATATCTTTGATGAAAGATGGAAACAATTGGTAAATTATAGAAAATACAACATTTATCATGACCAGGTGATGAGATCTGAATATTAAGGTACATATGAGTATTATTGTTGTATGTGTAAGCTGTCTTGTAAATTAATATCAATTTGTTTTGTCGATTGTTATGTAGTTATTTTATGTATCTACGTGTTTATTTTGGTATGTATGCTTTGTAATAAAATAATTTCTTAAAATGCACATAAATAAAAAAATATTACCAATTTCACAGCAAATCTACAGGCAATATATTAATATTTACACGTTTTTATATGTTACAGTAACTATAGTGTGAGTGCTTCTTCGAGTGAAAGCTGACACACACTTAATTAATAGCTTACTACAAAACCATAAGGCCTGTCTTCCCATATACTTCCCATACCAAGCAATCTACAAAATGCTGTAAACAAACACAGTTATTGCAACACACACCTCCACAGACAGTATGCCTACACTACAGCATTTCTGCAGACCATAGCTTTCATGTAGCAAAGCCAATGATCTGCTAACTGCTTGTTAGCATGACATAAATTAAGGAGCATTTAACCAACATAGCACGACTGCACACACACAACAACATTGGGCTACAATGTCACTCAATATCAATCACAACAGCTAACGGAACATTGACCAACCGTGTGCTTTCATCAGCCAGGTGCTTGACAAACAAAAGCTAAGACACACCCTCCTTTGCATGTTTTTCTCCCGACATTACACATTCAAAATAAAAGCCCCAGAGCCTTCATACTGATGTACTGCTGTGCTTGTGATGAATCAAGAAATCATGGACACTGAAAAATAACATTAATTGCAACTCTAGTTTTATGATGAATGTTTTTGTAGCACCTATAGGCTAATAACAGCTGCATTTTCAGTGAGCAGTGATGAGTTAATCTTTTGTGCTCCTCAGTTAACCCTGTAGTATACAGCCTTACATCACCCTGTGGATGGGTGAGGGGATTTCTTCTCACCTCAGACACTTGTGAAATGTCAATGTTACATCACAACAGCTGGTGAACTTACAAATACATAATGAAAACATACATACATGTATTATAACATAAGGCGTTTTGGCCCTGTGGGTTTATTTGGGCTTTTAAAAAAATCTTTTTACTACAATTAAAATATTACACTTTGATGAGGTGGCCTATTGTGTAAAAGGCATGAATGTGCTGTATAAAGAAATAGCACTCACATAATTTAAAGGGCTGTTTAAGAGCCTGAAATGTGTTCATTTAGTGTGATACTATAGGCTAAATAATGCACTTATCTGGTCAGATATTATACACAAATGAAATCTGTTTTATCACGCCAGGACACAGTATGATTTATTGCTGAATTCATTGTTATTTTACCTGCGTCTGCACAAATCCTGCAGAAATATCCTGGCTGTGTGGCCCCAGTGAACCGGAACGAACAAAGGTGTCAGCAGTCCTGAAGGCTACAGAGGTCTGGATGTTTTTGTGGGAAGTGTACCGGTGCTGCTCACCTGTCAGGTTGTCGTAGCACTCGATCTCGGTAGTCTGCACGGCTCTCCGCTGATCCTCGGTCAGCTTGCCGGCGGCTTGGTTCAGCAGGTTGACCTCGGAGCCCGTGGTCCCGTCCACCAAATGCACCCCTTTGAGCTGCAGCAGCGCCCGGTGGTACTTGCCGATCGCTTCCCGGAATTTCTTCTCCTTGTAGCAGCGGTGACCCTCTGCCTTGAAGTCGATGGCTTTCTGGATCTTCGCCTCCATGTCCATTTCAGCGGCTCGACACCCGTCTGCTCCGGCGGCCGCGGCCAGGCTCCGGCCACCGGTTTCCGGGTAGCTTTTAAGGCTTTTTATCTGGTGCTGCTTGGCTTCCATCTCTCTCAGTGAGAGTGCCGGGAGCGGGCCATGGTGCTCGGACACTAAGGTGTGTTTTATTGGGGAAGACCCGAGCAGCGTGCTGTGCATAAAGGATGCAGAAAACAGCGTCAAATACCGCGGTGTTAGTGTGTGTTTAAAGAATTTAAGCAAAAATAAATGTCGAAAATATTTAAGCTTATATTTCGTTGAATGAGGCTGAAACAGCTGGCAGAAACAAACTCAATTTTCCCATCCGTCGCTACCTGATTCCTCGTTCTGGTCGTCTCGCGGAGGGATGCTCGAGTGAATATCTATGGTAGCACGCGCAGCTTCAGCACCACAAACAGCGCACGCACGACAACCCCAACCGCACAGCATTGTGGGAGAAAAAAAGAGACGTCGTGAGGCGTTGCTGGTTGCTGCAGTCCAGATTTTATGGTGAAAACCGAAGACAGAAATGTGCTGTTATGAAAGATTATTTGTCAAAACAACAATGCACTTTGGTAAACATGGTAAAATAAGCGTAGGAATTAAAACACAATACTTTGTATGTAAACTACATCTTATTTACATATTATTGGACCATTTTTTTGTAATGGATGGGTCTTGACAACATTCACATTTACAGTAATCCCATAATTAGGCTACTATATTTAAATTAATAACTAATAGCCTTAGAGGATTGCACATTACGTCACTCCCATTGTTTGTAGCAGGCCAGTCTTCTTTATCAAAAACAAAAAACAGGCTGATACAGGCTTATTCAGCGTTAACCTAATTTACATCCCGTCAATAAACATCCCATTATGGCCATACCGATTTCAGCTGATAAGGTTTTCAAGGATATGGAGACGGACAGCAGAGGGCTGCAGGGACAGAGGAGGAAGAGAGCGACCTCAAGGGGACAAAGTCTCCATTACACCTATTATTTCTCGTGATGTGGCAAACCATCAACCCACCAGACAGTCATAATAGATCTGTAAAGATTATAGCCTATATTATCCTCTACTAAATTGCAATGTTAAGGTTGTTATCTTGTATGTCGTTAACACAACGCAGAAGTCTGAATCAAAGTTTAAAAAAAAAAATAGATTTGGTATGATGTAAATATTTGTTTAACTGTGAAGTTAGAGCTATCACAACATTGGATTTAATTACACAATTGTGACCAAAATAATTCACAATAACGCCACTAGTTTAACTGTTGGGTCTGTTTAGTGTGCACTTTTTCTTTAGTCAGTGTCAAAAGGGATAAGAGCGATGGGTGTTCATAGCTCTTCAGCATGCATGTCACTCTGAAACACCAATTACTGTTTTCTGCATGTTGTAGAGATAGCACTAACAAATTCATGTGTAAAAAGGCAGGATGTTTTTCTAGCTTTCCTGATTAAATCATTTCCTGGACTGAAACGTATGTACTTGTCTCTGTGCGAAAGTGTTAATTTCCAGTACAGAATAATTACATAAAGGGTAAGCCTACAACAAACTCTGAACAATCCCCTCAACGCAAACACATATTGAACAACCCCTGTAGCCTCTGGATGCCATCAGTGTTTCTGGCTGCAGCTGTACAGAGGGAAGATGAAGCCTCATTAACATACCACTGTGACAGTTGAGCCGACATTATGCAGCAGCAAACTCATTGTGAGAGCCGTGGGAGTTTAATCGGTTTATTGATAAATGATCAGCTAAATGTTCCCAGGGGCATATAAATATTGACTTTGATGTCATGTTCATAGTTAAGAGTTGAAAAGTACCGTATGTGATCATGACATGCATTGCAAATGTTTTCTGCAGAGAAAGAAACAAACAAAAGGAAAGACATTTGGAAACGTTTCTCTTTTATTGTCCAAGTATTTTTCTTTCCAAACTGATAACCTTTTTCCTTAATGTCTTTTTAAAAAATCATAAAAGTTCAAGGTGTATTTTGCTCTACTTTGTTCTTAAAAACATAAAAAAAAAAAATCTTAAATGTGATTTTAAACATTTAAAGTATTTACAGTGTAACAAAGTTCTGGTGTGAAGAATAGTACACAGGTGTTAATGGTCCACACTGGGTAAAGGTAAACTACCTACTTATACCTACAGTGCCCCCCCCCGACACCAGGCATGACGGCATCTCTGAGTTTCTTTAAGTGGGTAAATAACAGAAGGATGTCCACATAGAAAAATATGCAGCAGAACTGTTTCTGTGTGAAACCAAGTCTAACAAATCTATACATTGCATTTTTAAATAAACAGTATCCTACTGTGACCCAGCCTTCAAGTAGGTTATAGGAAACGTTCAGTACTGTGATAGAGAGGTGACATGGGTGTCTTTAGTTCAGAGGTGAGAATATTACTCCATAAAGCACAGGAGAAGTGGAGGAGGTGCAGTGTTTTGTATTCTTCTTTTCAAGTGTTCAGAGGTCGTTATGTGTACAAATCTGAATTGACTATGCAAGTCAATCCAGGGCTGAAGTTTAGAAGCCTTTCATTAACGCCTTTTCTACTTACCCGACATTAGAGGTAATATACTGTATGATGGTAACAGAGAAGAATTTAACAATCACTTCCACTACTGAACTATTCCTTCGGGAGAAAGGGAAAGTGTTGGCAGCAGCATCCTTATTTGAGGAGTGCGAGGGTAAAATTAAAATCACCGTTATGGCAGCTTGGTTCATGTCATGCTCATGCTTTAAGTTAAATATACTTTTTTTTTTTTTACAGAAAGATAAGTGGTAGATATGATTGAGACATGATAAATAGATTCCAGGTGGAGCATCATAAATCACAGAAAACATTGGTTTAGGGTCCATTCAAAGGTGTTTTTCCAATGGCAGCATGACTTAGGTAAAAAAAAAAAGAAGCGCCATCAAATTGTATCTAATTAAAACATTCCATCAACTCAAAAGAGGAAAAAGCTCCGATCTGCATTTACATGTTTCCAGGAAAAATGCAAGAACAAAGAGTTGGTACAAATTCTATAAAGGACGTGTCGAAAGAGTCTGAATACTTTCTTAGGGATTAGCGTTAGGTTTTCTTGCTCCCCAGTCTCTTGAAAACACTGATAGCCATGACATCCATCTGGGCCCCCACAGCCTCTGCTCCTCCTGCTCCCCCCGCCCCGGTGCTGCTGCTGACCTTGGAGCTGGCTAGGGTCAGCCCCTCCTTGGCTTTGGGCTTGGTGCTGGTCACCCTGTTGTCCTGTGTGTCAGCAGGTAAGGGCGACGCAGCGGCGCTCTGGTGTGATGGAGGCAGCTTGCCCAGTCTCTGAAGCACACTCACCTTGGCAGGGGGGAGGCCATTTGGGGCGCAAGAGGAGGTGGGGGTGTCAGAGGGATGTAGTTTGAATTTACCTCCCAGGCGCCGCAGGGTGGTCGGTGGTGGTTTGGCCACTGTCTCTTTCTTCTGGGAGGGCATGTTTCTCTTGAGGACGCCAGCATACTGAAGAACGGAGCCTTCTCCGTCACTGTCGTCCTCGTCGTCAACATCCATGTTTGCAGCCATTTTGACAGGCCTCTGCCCGTTCTCCTCTTCATCTCCTCGGCCAAGACGACTGAACACACCGGTGGCCTGCTAGACAAGCAACCATTACAATACAATTCAATACAAAGGTAGCTATTCATGTTTCCTGACAGGCCTTACCTTGTTATTGCTTGTTGTTGTGTCTGCCTTCGATTCAGCCCCAAGTCTTGAAAACACAGAGGTGCGCTTATTACCTATTTAAGGATTAGAAAACAAGTTATTACACAAATACTATTGTGATTTGCTACTGGAAATTCAAAGGAGAGCACCATGAGTTGATTAGAGCCTTGCTGTATAACGTAAAATATATGAGGCATATACTAAACTAAACTATGATTATAACGTACAATACAAGCCTCTGTAGAAGCAAAATAGTGTAATCAAAGACGTACTCTACTACGCGTATCCTCAGCAATCCAGCAGAGGATTCCCCCTCTTGTGTTTTATAAGTTCACATGACTAGGGAAGATCACAAGTCAAAATAATGGTTTATTTCCAGAAATTAAAGTAGCAGCTTCAAAAGAGCGAATTGCTAACATTTTACAAGACTGTTTTTAAATTATAAAAACCTAAACTGTGCCAAAGCCTTAGTTTTACAGCTCTTAGAACGGTTGGGTAAAAGCCATGGAATACAATGAATGCTGTGAAGGTTGTAAAATAAATCAGATATCTGTATTTAGAGTCAAATGTATTTCCAAAATTGGACTTTGTATTTTGTCAAAGCATGCCCGATGTTGAGAAACTGGCTTTTATCAGGGTTCATACACTTTTTCACCAATGATTTTCAATGACTTCTCCATGATCTTTACCTAATTTTCCATGACCGAAAAAAATTACTCTTTCTCAGCGGTACCACTGAAAATGGTTTATTTTAACATGGAACAGGAAAATAAGGTCAGCATATGAAACATGTTGTGCCTATCTAAAACAAATCAAATAGTAGGCTTACTAGCTTCTACACGCTAAAGCAACTGTCGTCAGGGATGCAAACTCATCAGGTATGAAAAAGGTGACAAGGATCCGAGCCCCCGACCCCACGGAATATCGGCTTTCAAATGAGGAATAACAGAGGGTTTTAGCAGTCAGAACAACTAAAGCAGCAGTGGTAATAACAGAAATGCTAAAGAGTTACATCTAATAGAAATATATAAAAGCATTTATTTTAATTGTGTGGCAGTCAGTTTATAATTTTGGCAGCACTGTTGAGCATTTTGAAAATGTATTTTCATGCCTCTGTGCAAAGCTTAGTCTTTCTATCTTTATAGCCAGCGGTGTAAAGTAACTAAGTTCATAAACTCAAGTACTATACTTGGGTACAATTTTGAGATACTTGTACTTTATTTAAGTATTTCAATGTTTTGCTACTTTGTTCTTCTACTCCACTACAGTTCAGAGGAAAATGGTATTTAATACCTTTAGTTACTTCACAGATGTGGATGAATGATGTGAAATATAATCAAGTGTTAAATCAGACTTTAGTTCCTCCTGGAGTAAATTCACAAGCTACCCTGCAGTATACAAAGTCATTCAAACTAGCTGCACCTTTACCAGCTTTGAGAACACTTTCATGATCAATCATTATAAAACATATCATATATATTATTCTGAAATGGACCAATCTGCACAATGACTATTTTTACTGTCGCTACTTTAACTATATTTTGATGATAATTATTTTCTACTTTTAGTGGAGGAACATTTTGAATGCAGGACTTTTACTACAGTATTCCTACACTCTGGTACTTCTACTTTTACTCAAGTACAAGACCTGAGTACTTCTACTTTTACTCAAGTACAAGATCTGAGTACTTCTACTTTTTCTCTAGTACAAGA